CGTTGTAACTTAGGACAGTCACTAAATGCACTGTTATAAGTCGAGGACAACCTGTATCTTTTACAGGCCAGTGGTCCACCCTCTGTGACTCTCCCAAGGCCATTCCCACAGTCCATGACACCAAGTCGTGCTTTTTAATGTGCCTCTTTTTGGCTGTTTGTTAAAGAGGAGAATCGGCTTCCGTGTGAACTAGACGGCTAGTGCCGCCATCTCCAGGATCCGTGTTGGTAGGAAACGGGAGCAGCCGTTTCTTGAGGACACCACGATGGCAGAGCTGCAGTTGACTTTCTTTCTTAACAAACGCAGAGGAGCTATGGCAAACCCCAGGATAACCATCTTGGCGTATTTGGTCTAGTGGTTAAGGCACCATACCAGAAAGCTTTTCAGTCCCTACCCCACCTCAGCCCTAGAAAACCATCCGAGCAACTTTGGGTCAGTCTCCTCTCTTGGCCAAGCCCTCCTCACAGGGTTGTTGTGGGGAAAATAGGAGGAAGAAGCTGCGTTGGATATGTCCGCCGCCTTGAGTCACTTGTAGAAACAATAAAGGTGGGATATAATAATAACAACAACAATAACAATAATAATAATAGTAAAGTTGGAAGGGACCTTGGAGGTCATCTAGTCCAACCCCTTGCTCAGGCAGGAAACCCTATACCATTTCGGACAAATGGCTGTCCAGTCTCTTCTTAAAGACTTCCAGTGTTGGAGCATTCACCACTTCTGGAGGCAGGTAGTTCCACTGGTTAATGGTCCTCACTGTCACAAAGTTTCTCCTTAGTTATAGGTTGCTTCTCTCCTTGATGAGTTTCCACTAATCCACTATTCCACTAAATAAATGAATATTGTACTTCAGCCATTGGGTTTCTTCTGACCTCAGCATATGCTCAAGGATCTTCATAAAGCTGTCCCCAGGCTTGCACGAGGAGAGGAACTTCTGGATGTTTGCCAGACCAATTGGCAAAGTGCTGTCAACAAACAGCTTTTGCTAAAAGTTAGATTAAGAGTACATCAGCATCTCTGGGTCCAAAGGGGACCCGGATTTCAAAACTTTGGGTCATCAGATCTGCTCTGCCCCTTTAAGCCTTTTTGTTCTCATCGAACCCCTTGATACGAAGACCCCGTTTTTAAGATATCAGAAGTCTTGAGTGTGCTTGTAATCAAGAACCATGAAGAAACTACATGAGTGCTGGAGATGCCAAGAAATGAACCAACAATTCATTTGATCACTTCGCCCGACTTGATGTTGTCCACAGCACTCTACCAGCCACGAGGACGTTGGGAACGTCTGCAGGATTGCAACATACGTTGTGGGTAAAGCTTCAGTAGAAAAATGTAGGTAGATACAACGCAGATGCATTCTTGAGTTTCAGCAACGTACACAGGTGCTGGTTTTGTTTTCTATCTTGCAACCACAAAATGAGACAAGTAATCTGCCGTTTCGGTCAAGAATGCCAGTGCTCCAGTGGCATCAGCACTTGGTTTCCTTTGGAACCCGCGCGTCAGTAAAATTCTTCCCAAAATCAACCATAATCAAGTTGGTTCACGGGAGGAAGAGGATCCAGAGTCTACCTCTTCCAAGGAACCAGTGAGGGAGAATGTGCAAGCTTTCCAGCCCTGTAAGATTCTTCCTCAGGCAAGATTTTGTGAAAAGGAGGCAGACAGTCCTCAACTTACCACCACAGTTGAGCCCCAAATTTCTGTTGTTAAGCAAGGCAGTTGTTAAGTGAGTTTTGCCCCCTTTTATGACATTTCTTGCCATAGTTATTAAGTGAATCACTACAGGCGAGTTAGTAACATGGTTGTTAAATGAATCTGACTTCCCCACGGATTTTGCTCGTCGGAACGTGGCAAAAGGGGGATCACATGGTACTGCGACCGTCATAAATAAGAGCCAGTTGCCAAGCATCTGAATTTTGATCGTATGACCAGGGGATTCTGAAATGGTCGTAAGTGTGAAAAATGGCCATAAGTCACTTTTTTCAGTGCTGCTATAACCTTAAATGGTCACTAAATGAAAGGCTGTAAGTCGAGAACTACCGGTAAGTGAGCCCAGTCATTAGACCACATCTTTTAGCTGTGGTTAAAGGGGGTTGGACTAGAAGACCTCAAAGGCCCCTTCCACCTCTGTTATTATCATTGTTATACAGTTACAAGCTCCCAGGTTCAGCTTATGGTCACTCACACAGCCCTGGTTAACAGCCACATTCAAATCCTTTCAACTGAACACTAAGGCACAAACGGTTCATTAGAGTACATGGAGACCCAGTGAATTTAAAATAACAAATTTTATACTGGCCACAGTGCTCTGTCTCTCTTTTACACACACACACACACACACACACACACACACACACACCCCTACCTCTATCCATATCCTTGGGTAGGTTGGCTGACACTAGCCATGGGACTTGGCAAGAGCCATGGATTTATGATCATGTGTTTATGATCATTGGGGGGGGGATCACGTGATTGCCATTGGGACTTTCCCAGCCAGCTTCCAACAAGCAGAGTCAAGGTGGGGGGACCTGGATTCACTTAATGACCATCGCATGAATCACTTAACAACTGTAGTGATTCTCTTAATAATGATAAGCGAGGTTGTAACATCGGGCGCAAGTGACTTAGCAACTGCCTTCCTTAGCAGCAGAAATTCTGATCCCAGCTGTGATCATAATTTAATAGCTGAAACGGAAGGACCAGTAGTATAATTTGACCCTTAGTAGGCCAGGTACACATTGTGTTGGTCTCCTTGGGTTCAGTGAAGCTAATGTGCAAAGCAGAATAACCAAGTTGGAAGGGAGCTTAGAGGTCTTCTAGTCCACCCCCCTGCTAGAGTCTTGAAGATAACTACGCAGAGGAGGAAAATTTTCGGTTTTTAAGGGAGTGACAAATTATGATTTGCACCACATGAGTTTGCCTCACATGACATAAGGATCTTTTCAGTTTAGATTTTGGATGTGATTAATAGTCAAGAGTTTTATCTGTTGTTCACCCAGGCATCCCTTCACTCATTAGATGAAATCACGCCTTTCCTCAGAAAACATCAGGCACACGGTGCCCTGACGTTCTCTGCACCAGTTGGTCTCCTCAACAACCAGCTTGTAATGGTGGGGGCCTCAAAGTCCCCTGGTAAGTTTCCGTAGATGTGAGTGGACTTGAAAAACAGGCTCTTCCTCATCCTTTTTCCAGTATTTCCAATTCTGACATCGCAACGCCTTTTTTGAATAATATTTTTACTTATATTCCACTTTGCTCTGCCACTTTTCAGAACTGGTTACCAGAATGTATGTGGTGGAGGGGGGGGGGATTATGGCCTCTTTATGACCTGTGGACACCAACTCCCCAAATTCCATGCTGGCTCAGCAATTCTGGGAGCTGAAGTCCACAGGTCGTAAAGAGGCCGTAGTTGCCCATCCCTTGGTACCGAGTACTGCTCTTGAGTTAGTACAAACGGGTTATAGGTTTAAATTCAGCGTATGTGCAGAATTTCAAGTTAGGAGCGCCAGTTTGTTATGGTTAAGATATCAGGCTAGAAACTGAGCGACTGGGAGTTCTAGTCCCACCTTGAGCACAAAGCCAGCTGGGTGACCATGGACCAGTAACTTTCTCTTAGCCCTAGGAAGAAGCAGGTAAGGGCAAACCAGTCAATCGCTCAACCTCCTGGCTCAAATGCCGGTTGAGTAAGCCTTTTTCTGCTGCCCCATCGTTCTTCAGGCATCTGACCACTTTGTCAGTCAAAGGACGTGACTCTGTGTGGCTCATTGGCAGGGTTGGCGCTCTCAGCAAGAGAAGTAGGGACATCTGTGGCTAATGTCTTAGAACCCCACACCTCTCTTCTCACACTCAGTTCATATCCAGGTGTGGAAATTGACTCATGGCCTCTGGGCTTCAAGAAGTCCTCCTGCCATGACTCAACTTCCAGGCAACTCTACCCAGATGACAGAGAATTTTTTTTATAACAAGGTAAATAAAATGAATTATGATTCCTATATGTGTGTGTGCGTGTGTGTGTGTATCACAGACCATTTAGAATATGTAGCAAAAAAAAGAGTCAAGAGTTAACAAAGTTGACTCAGTATTGTATTGAGTGATATAAAGCCGTTACAGAATCTAGTTGTTCTGCTTCGGATACTGTGACACCTCCTCCCAGAAGGTAACAACAACAACAACAAAAACTGGTCATGGAGAGGATGTGTAGCGTTCCAGACAATCCTGCGGGCCCTGGTCAAGCAATGCTTATATTCTATGTCCTGGATAGAAGGAAATGAACTACCAATACTCTTTTCTGCTGTCCTCACCACTCTGCACAGCCTTCCTGTCCAAAACAGTAATACCTCCAAACCACACAGTAATACAATACGAAAGTAGTGGTGGCGAATCTATGGCACGCGTGCCAGGGGTGGCACTCAGAGCCCTCTCTGTGGGCATGCACGCCATTGCCCCAGCCCCCCTCCCCCTGTGGCCCCCTCACCAGTAGCTCCCCTGGAGGAGAGTCACCCCTGAGTGTGACCTGTGCAAAGCAGCACAGCCAAAGACATGGCAGCCGGGCAGTGGGGACAAGACTCCGCCCTCACACCCTGTCATGTGCAGTTGATGCTTTGTGGTGCGGGTGGATGGTGTGGCCACCATGGCGCTGCTGGGCTGCCCAGGCGATCAGTGGCGGGCCGTGGAAGTAATGAGTGGCCCTGCAGGCAGACGGGGAGGGGGCGGGGCAGAGCAGGTGGGATGGGGCGGAGGAGGGGCGGGATGGGGCAGAAGCAGTTTTGGGGCACTCGGTCTCTAAAAGGTTCGCCATCACTGGTATAGAAGTATAAATATAAATTAGATTTTGCTTGCACTTTGGGTGGCTGACAGCGACATGGAATCTAGGGTGAATCTTGTATCAGATCCTGTTGGAAGGAGTCCATAGGGTTTATAGAGGAGGTCGGGGGATAGAAGATCTCCTAACTGAAGCCGATTGATTGGATTACACTTTGAAACCATCTCCTTATCTTTTAAAGGGTGCAGCAGCTGGACTCCTCTACGTCGGCGCACACATCCTCAACGCTTACAAGGAGTACGACTCTTTTCTCCAGAACCGAGATGCTCTTTTGCCCCCCATCATCATCATTGGCGTTGCTCTGGTCATGCTGGTCATTGGCATACTTGGCTGCTGTGCCACCCTCCGTGAATCCAAGATTGGGCTAGGAGTGGTAAGAATAAGGCCTGGCGCTGGGCCCCCCGCTTATAATAGCACCATTGCATGAAGGTGATGCTGGAAGTGGGCAGTGCGATGATCCCAGTCCCAGTCCCTCCGTTCCTGGACTCTTACGGTTCCCTAGTAGGAAGGGATATTTTTTTAGTAAATTATGAGATTCAAATATTCCAGAAACCCCTGACGTTGGTCTGCTAGCTTGAGGGTTAATTCCATCATGCCAAAATGTCTAAAAAACCCTTTTGCCTGCAACTTGAAAATGTGTGGACTTCAACTCCCAGAATTCCACACATCTTGAAAGAGGGTAGATCTGTCCACAGAACAGCCAAATCTTCCAAAGGTTGGTTTGTTGGCAACATCTGGGGAAGATCAGATGTGTCTCTGCTTCTTAAGTCTTCTTTTCTTTCTTCAGTTCTTGGTCATCATCCTGCTGATCTTCACGGCAGAAATAGCCGTCTTTGTGCTTGGATTTATTTACAGAGGAAAGGTGAGTGAAAATATCCAGGTAATGAAACAACCACAGGTCATCCTCTCCTTGCAGCCAGTCACTTAATGATGAGTTCAAAGCTATATGGACCCTGAAAAAAGTGAACTAAGAAATACAAACAGCAAAAAGCTAGATAAGAATTTAAGAAAGATATAAACGGACTAAAAAAAAGGAGTCCTTGCAGATTTTATTCCCTTAGTTGTTGCCAACTATAGGGAGCGGTGCTCATCTCCATTTCGAGGCCACGGAGCCAGTGCTATCCGAAGATATTTCGGTGGCCATGTGGCCAGCACAACCTCACGAAGCACTGTTAGCTTCCCACCAAAGTGGATTACTTGTTTATCTACTCGCATCTGCATGCTTTCAAACTGCTCGGTTGGCAGGAGCTGGGGGCGAGGGTGGGAGTTCACCCCGTGCGTGGCGCTCGGGTCTCAAACTTGGGCTGTCGGCTTTCCAGCCAGCAAGGCCAACGTCTTAACCGCTGGCGCCCATAGATGGACTAACAGACTAGAACAACTTGGAATCCTGAGATTCAGTGGTTAAATAATCATGTGTTGCTTTTTTAAATTGGGTCACTGGGGCTTAAACCTTTTATTTGCACCTGGAGAGAAGGACAGCAAAACCTGGTTGTTTAGTGGTGCTATTATTTGATATGCAAATCTTGCCTTTTTAAGGCTTGATGCTTTCCGTTGCATTTCAGATGGATGAAAAGATGTGAGGTAATAACAATCTGGGTGCCTTTCTTTTCTTGCCACAGATCGCAGCCGAGTTCCATGACTCTCTGTCGAAATCCTTTGCAGCCTACAATGGAAAATCAGAAAACTCTCAGAGTGTAGATTACCTGCAGCGGGAGGTAGGAAAACTGGTTTTGGGCTAGCATTTGTGTCTCGATTCCTGATAGGACGACATTGGTGTTGGAAATAGGAATGCATTTTTCTTCTGCTATATGTTGTTCTGATTGCAATTTCCCTAGTTTGGGGGCGGTTTTGTTTTTAAGAACAGAAAACTGGATTTTGAATTGGATTTGGGGTAGAAATATACATTTTAAAAAGAACAATTGAATTGTGGTCAACCAACATAAATAGCAGAGAAGCGTAGATCTGTGAGCCCTCGATAAAAGAAAAAGAGCACATCCGCTGCAAAGTAAGTAGAGACAGTAACACTGGTGGTCCCTGACTTACGGCAGTTCATTTAGCGACTGTTCAAAGTTACAGAGGCACTGAAAAAAGTGACAGGGCCGTTTTTCACACTTTCACACTTTGTAGCATCCCCATGGTCACGTGATCAAAATTAAGATGCTTGGCAACTTAATTGTGACGGTTGCAGAGCCTCCGTTTTTGAGACTGACAAGCAGAGTCAGTGGGGGAAGCCAGATTCACTTAACTACAGTGTTACTAACTTAACAACTGACTCACTTAATAACTGTTGCAAGAAAGGTTGTAAAACGGGGCAAAACTCACTTAACCACTGTCTCAGTCAGCAACATAAATTTTGGGCTCAATTGTGGTCATACGTTGAGGACTACCTGTGTGCACCTCGATCCTTTCCATGTACCGAAAGCATTGCTGATAATAGTTCTGTTGCAATTAAGCTAAAACACCAGGTCCTCTCAGGTAGAATAGAATTGTGATCCCTGACCCTGATCTTTCACTACTTTATTTGTAATCTTTTCTAAGGTGGTGATTGGAGAAGCTTTGCTAATCCCCATCTCCAAAAAATACATAAAGACCCAGTAGTGGCTTGAACAAGATGAGAGGTCATAGCGCACGAGGAGACCGTCTCCTTTGCCCCCACAAGGCCCCAGAGCAGCAATGTCCGTGGGGAGGGGGAGGCAAGAAAAGGTGATAGCCATGTTGCCCCAAAAACCAGCCGGGCCTTTGATCTCATGGCTGCGGCTGTCATTTTGACTTTTTCTGACCCCTTCTCCTGATGACCCTGGCTTAGTCCCATATAAGGGGTGTGCTGCACAAGGTAGGTAGGCAGGAAGGAAGGTAGGCAGGCAGACAGACAGAAAGGAGAGAGAGAGAGAGAGAGAGAGAGAAAGAAAGAAAAGATAGCAAAAGGTTGATAGAAATACAGACAGACAGACAGACAGACAGATAGATCAGTGCTTCTCAACGTTTGTGTGACGGCGACCCCCGTCACACAAACGTTCTGCGCATGCGCCGGGCCGTGCACATGGGGGCGGGCCCCCCATGCACGGCGCGCAAGCGCGGCGGCCCCCCCACGCGTGGCGCGCGTGCAAGGTGCCGCCCCCATGCGCAACACACATGCGCGGCACTCCCCCATGTGCGGCACACGTGCACGGCGGCGCCCCCATACGCGGCACGCATGCGCGGCGGCACCCCCATGCGCGGTGCGCGTGCACGGCACCGCGAAAAATGGCGGATCGCCGCCTTTGGCGACCCCCGAAAAATGGGCGATTGACCCCAAATGGGGTCGCGACCCATAGGTTGAGAACCGCTGAGATAGATAGATAGAAATACATAGCAAAGTGTTGATAGAAATTGAGACAGACGGGCAATGGATAGAGACTGGCAGAGAGAGAAAGAGAGAGAGAGCAAAAGGTTGATAGAAATAGAGACATAGACAGGCAGCTGGATAGAGATAGATAGATAGATAGATAGATAGATAGATAGATAGATAGATAGATAGATAGATAGATAGATAGATAGATAGATAGACAGACAGAGAGACAGACAGACAGACTGACCCACATTGTAGGGGAGATTGGTGGCATAAAAAATAAGTAAAAAAATAAGTAAAAAGAGACTTTATCTGAGTGCTGGAAAAACACCCTCCCTCCTGCTTGGAAGGGCAAATGCTGATGGCTTCTGGGTCGTAGGTGTGTTATATACAATGATGGGAAAGTCTTGAATAGATTGAGATGCTGCATTTCCTTATCAGCCCCTCAGAGTTCTCTAAAGCAGCTGGGGATTAATTAAACACAATGGCTAAGCCAGCTTTATCAACCTGTTTGCTTTCCAAGGCGTTGGATCTAGAATTCCCAGCCAAGTTGGAGGACGTCATATTGGAAGGACACCAATTTGCTAAGACCTGGTTAATCCAAGGCTTATTGACTAAATAGTAGCCAGCTAAAGTTCCACAACTCACCAAAATTTAGGCTTGGTTTATAACTTAGAAGGACCGATTCACATTGTATGCTGAGCCAAAACTATTTTGCCCAGTTCACAAATATAAGGCCATCCTTGGGTATAAATTTATTTAATCCTTTCACTTTATTTTTGCAACATTCAGCTGAAGTTAACAGTATAAAATATTCAATAGGTTTTGGTTGTAATTTTTTTAATTAATATATTCCATTTTAGTATCTTTTTTTTTTCAGCAGATAGGTTGATCGTTTTAGTGTCATGATGAATGGCTCGGTATGAAAGATCTCATCTGTTAGTGTTGCAAATGAGATCTTTTTGCTTCCAAAATAGTGATTTCATTTAAACAAGTATTTCCTCATCATGTGAAAATCATAACATTCTCAATACATTCTTGTTCCAAAAATTAGTTACACAGTGCTGATACTCTATTTAAAGAGTTAATTCAGAGATTAGTCACTGTACGTATTGGGTTTTCATCAGTGGGATTAATCTTTCACAGAACATAACAAAGAATGTGGTTGAATCTTTAATGAAACTGAGGAAAGGTAAAAGTCTGTTTGTTCCTTAGTTAGGAGGCTCTGAAAAATAAAGGCTAGGCAAGAAGGAGGCAAGGAAAACAACTTTGGTATTATTGCCAAAAAATTACATAGTTGTGCCCACATAAACATCACAAGGGAAGAGCAAGTTGAAGCAGGTTTTTTTCTTTTCATTGTGAAGCATCAGCATCAATAGTTTGATATTTCTGGAAAGTTCTCCAGTATACTGTATCTGGGCAGGAGTCTCCACAACACACAATTGCCAATTTCCAAACTTGATTGAGGTGTTTCCCCAAGGATGAAGAGAATCAATCTATTGTGTTGTGGCTCTTATTGAGCATTCCTTACGTGGCCCTGTCCAGATGCAAGGAATTCTTGGACTTGACATCCTGGCCCATCTGGTGGGTGTCACTTTCTGGAGAAGCTCCAGGGATGAGCCCTCAAAGCCTCAAAGGTAAACGAACTGAATTGTGGATGCGCCTCTTCTAACCACAATTGCTGCTCTTCCAGCTTCAGTGTTGCGGAGTCCAAAACTACACCGATTGGATTGGTACCCAGTGGTTCAACACTGCAGGCAACCACACTGTTCCTCTGAGCTGCTGCAAGCAAGGCCCGGCTATAAAGAATTGCACAGGACGACTAAGTGAGCAGGAGCTTCTCAACACACAAGTAAGAGCACTCAGGATTTGCTTGAGTAGGACCAAAGTGGTAGATCCAAGAACATAAATTGTATGAACCAGCTTCCTATTTTTATTTATTTATTTATTTATTTTGCCTATGCTGGCTGTCTTTACTTATCTTATTCTGGAATATATGTTTCCTGTTCCATGTACAAAATTCCTCTAGGTCAGGGGTGTCTAACTGCCGGCCCGCGGACCGGATGGCGAAACCGCGCCCACCCCATTGCTGGAAAAAAAGTCATGATACGTCATGACATGTCACGTGACATTGCAAGTTTGACACCCCTGCTCTAGTTCAATACATGTATGTGGAGATGTCATCTAGGTCATGTCTGTCTCAAAGGTGCTTTTTCAAAAGGCAGCTATACCATATTTTTAAGAGCCGTGGTGGTGCAGTGGTTAAAATGCAGTATTGCAGGCTGACTCTGCCCACTGCCAGGAGTTTGATCTTGATGGGTCAACCTTCCATCCTTCCGAGGTCAGTAACATCGCGACCCAGATTGTTAGGGGCAATATGCTGACTCTGTAACTGCTTAGAGAGTGCTATAAAGCATCGTGAAGCAGTATATAAGTCTTAAGTGCTGTTGCTATTTTTTTCCCTTGAGGAAGAAGAAGACATTTTGCTTCTCATCCAAGAAGCTTCATCAGTTCTGGCTAGATGGCGGTGGTGGTGGTGGGGGAAATGGAAGTATTGGTTCCAACAGGATGTTCATTGGGTGTGTGTGGAAGGATTATATTTCTTTGCAATCTTATAATATATCTGACTGCAAAGAATATAATACCTCCTGTCATAACTAATCCTTCAATTCCCCCCATCATTCAGCCAGAACTGATGAAGCTTCTTGGATGAGAAGCAAAATGTCTTCTTCCTCCTCCAGGGAAAAAAACAAAAAACACAGTCCAGTCGCCTTTTGAAAAAGCACCTTGGAGAGTCCTCTCCCTACAAAGTAATTTGAAGAAAACTCTTGTCTGCCTGTCCTTTCATATTTATGGATTGAGCTGATGAAACCAATGCATATTATCATTAACTGCCACAAGATGGGGTTTCATCCACTTTGTTTGAGAGGAATAGAATAATCTAAACCCAAGAATGACACATGGGGATCTTCCAAGCTGAGTTCTTTGTTGTTCTCACAGTGATAGACAAAATCTTGAAAGACTTGGGACTCTGTTATCTGCATCTACAATATTCTCTGGGGGTTATTGGGGTGGAGCTGTGTTCATCCTCTTTCTATCACACATACGGGGTAACATCTGGGCTGAGTTGCCTCTTATCCCTCTGGAAGGCACCCCCTCCCTCCTGGGGATCCACCTCCTCACTAAAGTCCATCATCAGGCCTCTGATTGGCCACTGTGGGAAATAAGAGAATGGACTAGATCGGGGTTTCTCAACCGTGGCAACTTTAAAATGAGAGTCTGTGTTGATCCTCAGTCATCATCCAGGTCACGGTTGTCCCAAAGGTGCTTTTTCAAGAGACAACTGGACTTCCTTGCTTTTCTCTGAAGACATTTTGCTTCTCATCTAAGAAGCTTCTTCAGCTCTGTTTTCTTGGATGAGAAGCAAAACGTCTTCAAAGAAAAACAAGGTCCAGTTGCCTCGTGAAAAAAGCATCTTTGGGATGTAAGATGAGTGGACGTCAACTCATGGCTGGCTGGAGAATTCTGGGAATTAAAGTCCACCCATCGTAAAGTTGTCAAAGATGAAAACATTGAACTAGATCAGGGGTAGTCAGCCTTGGCTCTTTTATGACTGTGCTGGCTTAGGAATTCTGGGAGTTGAAGTCCACGAGTCATAAAAGAGCCAAGGTTGACTACCCCTGAACTAGATGAACTTCTGGGCAGGTCCAGAGGCCTTTGTGTCCTTATCTCTACCAAGTTCTTGTTTTGCACAAAACTCTTGAACTTTTCTACAAAACTCTTTGAACTTATATAATCAGTTCTTCCCCGTTGTCTCCCCTCACTCCAGGGCTGTGAAAAGGTTGTGGATCTCCGTGACCTGTTCAACTACGCGATGCTTGTTGTCTTAGCTTTTGCCATTGTGAAGGTATGTGATGGCCAAGTTTGAAGCTGCTTTTCAGTTGGGTTATAGTAAAGGACATCTGGGGACTGCAAAGAAAGGGCTGTACGACGGACCCCAAATTGTTCCAATCCACTTTTCAATCCGAATGGTCTCCTCTTTTCATTCCCATTTTTATTTGTTGGGGTTTTTTTTTAAAAAAAGGAAAAACAACAATACCCAAAATTGGCTGTTTCTGTCCAAATGGTGGTGATCCTGGAGGCTTGCTGCAGTCCAGATGATCCCTAGAGAAACATGGTCTAATCCTGCCAGTCTCCGCTCATGTTCTTTTGATTCTAACGGGTTTTTTTGTTTTCATTTGCTCTTTGGAAAAGACAAAACTCCACCCTCCAGATTAAGTGGAACATTCCACGGGCTCTTCTCTTCCCTTCGAATGTTTAAGCAATAATCATTCAGTTACATTTCTATCTTTGCCTTTTCTAACCTAGTATGTGTCTTTCCAGGGCCAATTATGAAATGGATTAAGTATTTGCTTGGATCTTCCATGATGAGTAATCACAAATAGCCATAATCCACAAATAGCCAGGGGCTTTTTAAGGAAACCCAGAAGTGCAGCGTTGAGGCAGTATTTACTTTATAAATCATGATTTATGCTACATGTAGCCAAGGCTTGCTTAGAACCCAGAGTTAGTTTTGCTTTGACAAAACCATGCAGTGTATTCAATAAACAGTAAGAATTTCGGAAATGGAATGAACCTGGAGTTTTATTTGGATTCTCAAGCTGGATGTTGACAGATGGTCATAAAACAGGTCATTCATGTGACCAACCTGATTTTACAACCTTTTATGTAACAATAGTTAAGCAAATACCACGGTTAACAAGCCATTGGTTTGCTTTGGGACAGTTTAGCCCCAAACTGGAATAAATGGGTGTCGTGCACATGCAGTCACAGGACTGCAGGGGAGTATTGGAACTTCAGATCTAGGTTGTGAGCACCCCCCAAGGGAGGTCTGTCCGAACTTAAAATGGTTGCTAAGCAACTGGTCATAAATTGAGGACTACCTATAAACCAGAATTTGTAGAGGACACTCAGAAGGGCAAAACTGAGTTTGACAGACACAGGAATGAAAATTAATCGTGGTGGAGAGACTATTAAGGGCCAGATTTGAGAGAAGAGCAATCTGTTTTCAAACTGAGTCCTTTGGGATTGGGCGGCATATAAATAAAATTAAATACAAATACAAACTGTAAATTCTGTAAAGGTTGCCAAGAATGGGGTCCTTTGTGGTTTCTGAGCTTGATGGCTTCCTGACAGGCGTTTCATTACCAAACTAAGTAACATCATCAGTGCTACCTAAAACTAAACCCCAGAATCAAGGAGGCCCCGGAGTCTGAATGGGTGGTCAACGTGTCCAGCCATCCACCATCTACTGCAGAACACAATATTTTACAGAGAGGCCTCCACTTCAATACAGGTGATGCTGATCAACTAGAATTCTAGAAGGAACATTTGAAACCAGTAGCACTGATAATGTTACCTAGTTTGGTAGCGAAATGTCTGCAGGAAAAGCTGCCAAGCTCAGAAAGCATCAAGGACCCCACAGTTCAACCCTGACTTACAGATATTCCCTTCGGTGCTATGTACGCAGACCGAAAGATTAATTACAGTGTTTTGGGTTTTTTTCATTTCAGTTTTTTGGAATGCTTGGGATCTGCGTGTTGGCCTGCAAGAAGGAAAGCAGCGGGTACCAGCCCCTGAGCACGGGGGTGTTCGCCTGACCACGAAATGGAGGGATTTTCCTTTTGGGATTTCCACGAACAAAGATGGAAAAGTGTCTTGAGTAGAAAGCACTAGCCCATTTTTTATGAAATCCCAAAGGAGATTACACTGGCTTTCAGAAGCCCTATTAAAGGTGAAATAGTTGGCATTAACATCCTCATAAGCCTGAGATTTGTCTGATGTAGTTGAAATTAAGGTGCCCTTGTTTTAACAGTAGATGGAGACATTCGCCAGAAAAGACAGACCAGCATCTGCGATTCCAGTGTCTGATATAATTTGTGAATCTATCCTTGAATAGACTTAAAGGAATTATTTTTTACACCAGTCATATTTTTCCCCCAGATTGGTTGGGCCACAGGTACATGGTAAAGGGCTAGGGGCTTATAGCAAATCTCTAAAATCCAGTGGAAATGGCTAAAAGTTAGACATATTGAAATCCACTCTGAGGTAAATGTTGAGAACATAGTATGCCTTGGATTGAAGCTGGATTCTTCTCCCAAGAAAAACTTCAGATACGAATGCCGACAATTGCTTTTACTCTAGACTGATGTTTTCTGGAGTAACTTGGAGATTTAGACATAGGCAGACTTCATCTGGGAGTGATCAGCTTTTCTAACAGACTATCCATTACATTTCTGATTGTGTGAATTCTTCTGCTAAGAAGTTGAGTTAGGTCGGAAATGCTTATAGATTCCTAATCTCCCTTTTTTTAGCTCCTGATGTTGAATGTTTAATTCTGGTGGTAAATTGACAATTCATATAAGGGAAGCACAATAAAGTTGTAACATAATCCCTAAAATAGGCTTCAGACTTTAAGCCAGGGGTGTCCAACCTTGGTAACTTTAAGATTTGTGGACTTGAACTTCCAGAATTCCCCAACCACCCATGTTTGTGGGGAATTCTGGGAGTTGAAGTCCACAAGTCTTAAAGTTGCCAAACTTGGACACCCGTTTTAAGCAAAGAAAGACATACTCTGCTCTAAATATCAATCATAACCTCATCTCTGAAAAAAATATACTTCTTGTTATCACTGCATCCTTAGATCTAGTCTGTCAAAACTAAGTACAATTCCTAGCTATAAATTTGTTGAGCTGCAGAGTTGCTAGAATCCTTCAGAAGTGATGGGTTAATTACTTATTCCCAGCCATACCTGCACTGAGTAGTTATGTACTCCAGAGACACCAGGTTAGAGAAGGCTGATCTAAGTGTTTGTGGTTTGATTTTTTTTTTAGTCTTTGTTCACTGGATGCTCCAGGTTGAATACATCCTATTTTTGGTCCAATAAGCCAGTATGCACCGCAGTTGGGTAAAATTTCAGGATGTGCCTGGAAATATATTAAAAATGTGATGCTGCTTTCATTCCAATAGCAGCTGAGCTTGATATTAAACTTTTTCTCCAGATGAAGGATGTTGATTTGCTGGGGCACCATTAGATGCATTCTTTATCTTTTGTCTTCTTGTTTTTGTGAGTAGAGAAGCAACTTGGATAGCAGATGTATTGCTGTGGGGAAAAGCAAGTTTTGTTTTTTTTTCAAACCATTTTTCTTTAAATTTTGAGTATTGTATGGCTACTATATTCCATAAAGAGCATCCTGAAATCCTAAATAAAATACTTCAAAAATAAAAAGTGCAGTATTTTATTTCATTTGAAAATAACAGGAGAATTGAAAAAGCCAGTGTGTAAAATAGTTACACAAGGACAGTAAGATATTTTGGTTAAACTACTTGACTTGTGATGACTTCACAGGCAACATTGACAATATGGAAGGATTTTGCTAGCGTCCTGTTCTGGAAATAGTATTTTCCCCCCCAATTTTAATCCATTTTCTGGGTTTTTCTCATACATGGAATGGCAAAATATGCAATGACTTTTCTACAATTTGCTGTGGAATAACCTAACGCATACGATAAAGAAAGTCTCTAAATCAGGGGTCCCCAATCCCCAGTCTGTACTGGTACTGGTCCGTGGCATGCCAGCAAACGGTCTGCACAAACAAGCAAAGTCCCATCCGCGGGATGCAGGCAGCATACAAAACCACGCACTCTCTAGTCCATGGAAAAACCTCTCCATGGAACCGGTCCCTGGTGCCCAAAAGGTTGGGGACCTCTGCTCTAGATGAATTCAGGCCCTCGTGAGTCGACTTACACTTTCATGGAGCTGGCAACATGGTGGTGCTATGTACAGTAATTGCTACCTTTTTAAAAAAAATTTAAATGTCCCAGTCTAGCCTTGAGCTCTGGAATCTCTTGGTGGTCTCCCATCCAAGTGCCAATCAGGCTCATCCCTCATGAGTTTCAGAATCCAATCAAGATCTGCCAGGAACAGAATGGTGAGAATGAGGAAGGAGAAGCCAGACTATCCTATTACAGCAATTTGTTTGGTATGACTGCATTCATACATCCCATGATTGAACCAGTCCTTATGTATTATGCATAAAACATCAAACCACAGGATGTCCAATGAGTCGCAAAGGCATAAACAACACAAAAGATCTGGTTAAAACGAACTAAGTATATTGTGTGAATGTAAGACCAGATTATTTTTTTTACCTTGTATGTGTTGGATAAGTCCAGTTTACACCTAAGAACCGTGCTGAATGGTTTTGCTAAGCTTTCCAAAATAACTTGGAAACTGGTTGCGAGGAAACAATCACTATTGCTGGACTTCAGCATTCCCTTTGCTTGAATATGGGAAGTGTTGCATTCCCAGTTTCACCCCTCACTTCAGGCTTCCATTCAGCTACAACTGCATTGTAAGATTGAATAAAGACACAGATTTTACTGCCTTAGACTTAGTTCAGTGTTGCTGCCATTATAAACAACAGTTGCAGGAATTGGTTATGGCTAATCTAGTGAAAAGAAGGACTAGGGGGGTGACATGATAGCAGTATTCCAATATTTGAGGGTCTGCCACGAAGAAGGTGGGGGGTGTCAAGCTATTCTCCAAAGCACCTGAAGGCAGGACAAGAAACAATGGATGGAAACGAATCAAGGAGAGAAGCAACCCGGAACAAAGGAGAAATTTCCTGGCAGAACGGTTGACCAGTGGACTGGCCTGTCTTCAGAAGTTGTGGGTGCTCCATTCTTGTGGAAAAATAAAGCCTTAAAAAAATAAAGGACTTTTACGAAATTCCATGGGTGAAAGAGAGATCTTTATTTTTGCGCAAAAAGGTTCAGAAGTGATTTAACAATCAACAAATTTCTGAACAAAGGGGAGGGTCTAAACTAAAGCTTTATAGGTTTCTTTCTCTCAGGAACAAAGGAAGCATAGATGGAATCTTACATTGTATATGGAATCTACTTTGTGTAACATTCAGATAGTTTCTCACACTTTAGGTCCATTTCTCATGGGAATACAATGAAGGCAGTTTTTACTTTTATACAATGTTTCTAAATATGCATTAGGTCATTCACATACTGTTAATACAGCTTTTGCTAACACAGCTTTCTTTCAGAGATTATGCAGACACATGATTTTTGCTTTTAGTGATTTTTCATTATTATTATTATTATTTTACTTTATTCTTCTTTATTTTATGTTATTCTATTTCTTTCCCACTTTACCATGACTGAAAGTTATTAAGAAGAGACTGGACAGCCACTTGTCTGAAATGGTAGAGACTCCTGCTCGAGCGGGGGGGCAGGACTAGATGACCTCCAAGGTCCCTTCCAACTTTGTTATTCTGTTTTTCTGTTATTTCTTTGGTCAAAATTCCTGCCATGAAGTATGGGTAGTCCTTGACTTACAAGCACAACTGATCCAAAATTTCTGTTGTCAAGCGAGGCAGTTGTTAAGTGAGTTGCGCCTCATTTTATTCCTTTTATGCCACAGTTGTGAAGCAAATCACCGTGGTTGTTAAGTGAATCATGCAGTCGTTAAGCAAATCTGACTTCCTCCATTGACTTTGCCATCTGGGAAGATTACAGCTGGTGATCACATGACCAAGGACAATGCAGCTGTCATAAATACATGCCAGTTGGCAAGTGCCCAAATTCTGATCACATGATGATGGGGATGCTACAATGGTCATAAGTGTGAAAACTGGTCATAAAGCTTAGCAGCTTTAAGATGGGTGGACTTCAATTCCCAGAATTCCTCAGCCAGTGTGGGGAGTTCTGGAAGTTGAAGTGCACTCATTTTAAAGCTGCCAAGGTTGAGAAACTCTGAATTATAGGCATATTTTTAATAGAGTTTTGGCTTTTGGATGATTTTCTCTTCTTTCTGTCATATTCTTTTCTGCCTTTACCTCTACGACATCTGACTCTGGGCTGCAGAAACGTGGATGGCCATTGCCTGTTTGTTTGCTACCGTCCAGATCAGTGTTTCTCAATCTCAGCCTTTGGGGGTTAGACTAGACGACCTCCAGGATCCCTTCCATCTCTATTACTCTGTTCTTCTTTAAGATGTATGGACTTCAACTCCCAGAATTCTGCTGACTGAGGAATTCTTGGAGTTGGAGCCCATTCATCTTAAATCTTTGCAGCTGGACAGTCGTATCACTGATTGTCTGAAAGGAAAAACTTCATCTGAGCAAAACTTTAGAGCAGGAGTCTTCCAACTTGGCCCTTGTATGACTTGTGGACTTCAACTCCCAGAATTCCTCAGCCCGGCTTTAGAGTCTGCCCCATTGATAAAGTTCCCCTATACGTGTCAATTCAGATGCAACGCCCCCCCCCCTCCATTTAGTTCAAACCAAAGACTTAGTTCTGATTCCTTTTCTCCCCAACGGATAAATGCGGGGTTTTTTTTTCCCTCCCAAGTATGACAGTGCTGCGCGACTCTACAATTTCTATCTCCCAACACTTGTGTGCCGCTCTATATTTCTCGTCTATGGCTAAACTCGTCACTCCCTCCCGGGACCGGGAAAGAGCACCGGCAACGCCTCCGCGGCGAGAGGAGCGAGTTCTCGCGCGATTTGGGACGCCCAACCGCTTGGGCGGGTCGTTTGAATGTGAGCGAGTCGCCGCCGGAGGAAAATTCTGGGTTTTGCGTGGATTGGCGACCCCGGAGATGGAGGAGGGGGAGGAGGGGGCGAGCCTGGCCTCGCCCGGTGAGCTTGACGGTGAGACCCCGACGCCCTTTGGGGACTTTCTTTGCAACACAGTTTTTAAAGCAATATTAATGTTTATTTATGCATGCATGCATGTTTATTTATTTACTCTAGCCGCCCATCTCAAACAGTGGCTCTGGGAGACTTAAAATTCCAAAATTATAATATTTTAATATTGCATTGATTAAAATAAATATTTAACAGTATGTAACAATTGTTATATTTGATATTATAAAATAATTGCATTACATATTGTGTTGCTTTTATACCACATTATTATAATTTGGAATTAATTCACTTCTATTCGTGTGTGTGTGTGTGTGTGTGTGTGTGTGTGTGTGTGTGTGTGTGTGTGTACAAACCCTACTTCTCTTTTAGCATTTTTGGCCATGATTCTGAACTGGTCTTATGATATTTGATATTTCTGCTATTTATTTGTAGGCAGATTTGTAAAAATCCTCGTATCCTTAGAAAAGCGTGAAAACGTTCTGTAAACAGTGCCATTATAATACCTCTATTTTCATTTTAATAATGTTCTATTTCCCTTCTTCCTCCTTAAAGCAAGAACATGGGACACAATCTCTTCAAACTTAAATGACTTATGCTTTCATCTCAACTCCAAAATCTCAAATATCAAAAAGTCACTTCAGCTGAGAAAAATAGGTAAGAAAATTTCATTTCTTTAGGGAAGAACTGGCGTGCTTTATGCAATAGTGCTTTGTAAATTGATCTGGGAGTCTGGGAACATATGCATGGAGAATGCCAATCTGATGAATATACTTGCAGACTATTTCATTCCTTTTGTACAAAGCATAAACTATGGAATTTACTGCCATCAGTGACGGTATCTGCCAATTGAGTTACTTTTACAATCAGACTAAATAATTATATGAATTAATGCTACAGTAGTTCCTGAATCACAGACAGAATATTTTAAACAATTACAAAAGCGTTATTGCTTTCCTGATCCTTCTGCAAGCTTCCTGAATGCATCTGCTTAGTCGCTGTTTGATGCTACATTTTATTTATTTATCTGTATCCCACCTTTATTTTACAAATAACTCAGGGCAGCCAATATATTCAACGTATCTCTCTCCTCCTATTTTCCCCACAACAACAACAACAACCCAATTACCCTGTGGTAAGATGGCTGGCAAATAAATTTTATAAATATTATAAACCTTGTGAGGTGCTGAGAAATGTAACTAGTCCAAAGTCACCCAGATGGCTTTCATGGCTAAGATGGGACTTGAACTCAGGATCTTTTGCTTTCCAGCCTGATGCCTTAACCGCTAGACCAGGGGTAGGTAACCTTGGCTCTTTTATGACTCGTGGACTTCAACTCCCAGAATTCCTGAGCCAGTACAGCTGGGAGTTGGTCCACGAGTCATAAAAGAGCCAAGGTTGCCTACCCCTGCGCTAGACCAACCTGGCTCTCGAAGGCTGGACTGTGAATACTTAGAGAGGTATATTTGGAAGAGGCTTTAGAAGATATCAGATCTGTTTCTCGGATCAGGATCCACTGCAGCATCCCTGGGAGAGGACCCCAGAGCTATTATTGGAAGATCTCTGTTGA